GAAAGCATTGTACTTGCTTTTCACTATATTCCTAAACTTACTGATAGCATTACGTTGCAATTATTGCTTCACTGAATCAAATAATTAATTTTGTATGTTGTTTATATTTTAGAATGTCTCATCAATGAATTCTAGAAAGGAAAAATTAAAGGGATAAAGCAAAATATTCTTAACTTGCGTATGGGGCAATGTCAAAGCTTCAGTAACTTTAGGGGTAAATTAAGTTAGTTAAACTGTTATCTCACTCCAAAATTTTTGGAACTTCATTATCAAGACAAAATTCTGAGGAAGTTTCAGTGAGCACCTTGTAAGATACTATACAATCATAAATGTTCGCCTTGATTCAACTGTTAAAACGCGTCCACATAGATATGATCCAATTAAGTTCCATTCTTATTTTCAAAATGTCAATTTTTTATATTTTTTATGTGACAAATCAAGATATAAACTTTGAAAGTTATATTTATGGGTTATATATGGAAAAAAAAAGTTTATAAAGCTTCATGTTTTGGTAAATTTATAACCTGCCAGTGCTAAAAAACCTTAATCCTTTTATTTACTAAAGATAAAAACAAGGTCTAACAATGCTCTCTTCCATTTGAATATTTTGGATTATTTTGTATGAAGACAATATTGATTATTATTGATAAGTTGGGAAGAAGCGTTTTTTTTTTCTTTGTTTGGTACTTTTTGTATTTTCATACAGCAATATCCTTTTCAATGTGAGAGATGTATTGTCGTTTTCTACATTGTAGATAGTGATATTGAATGAGAAAATGAAATATAAACATTACTCTAAGTAATTGAAACTTGACATGTTTGACAAAATATCCTATATGTCACGTTCAAGACTCTAATGTTATATAATTACTTAACATAATTACCATAAGATTGCTGTTCTGACAGATATAACTGTTAGGTAAACCCAACTAAAATAAATGACATTGAGATTTCATAGTTCTAAGTATATATTTTTGTTATAAAAATATGACTGAGTTGACCCGTGTAATGATCATGTAGAATTATGAAAAAACTTGTGTTATCATCTTAATTATTAAAATATTAGAGGACAACATGATGATAGGTCATAACCACCTGGATTCACATAATTTAGCCGATAATTTAACATTTGGAGTTGTATACCAAATCAAATAAAGATATGACGCGTTTAGTCATTATATTGTTTTTGTAAAATATTGCTTGTCTGTATTTAAGGGAAAAAAAATGATAGTGGCAACGTAGATTCTGAAGCATCTAAATCAAACTATTAGAACCTTAATCAAAAGTGTTGAACCTATCTGTTACATAGCACTGAGAGTTTAATTTTGGGAAAACAAAATCATTTTTATTATCCATAGACTACTTGCTTTTTCTGCACTAGTACAGTACCCGTGCGATGCATGGGGCTTTATTATTTTCGTCCCTTTTAAAAAGTAATTTTGAATTAAAATTCAAATTATATAATAAAGGAAAGATCATGCCATTACTAATTATTAAATATAATAAAAATAAAATTTATATATCATTGAACACTTCTTTACTTTACCAAATGATATGTAACTCTTACAAAAATCTCGAATCTCGAGAACATCAACACCGATGAATAGGGTCACATCTTTTGATGTGGTTATTCGAACTTCACCTAATTGAAAAATATATTGGATTAACCGATCAAAACAAAAAAATATCGACCTATTTATTTAGTTTAATTATATTAAAATTAATGAAATACGTCCTCACTCCTTCGCACGGTGCATTTGCATGATGAGGACAAAAAATTCTTTTTGATTTTGGTAATGATGCTCAAAAGCAATCAACTGGTCAGCATATTGGCCCCAAAACGTACAGTTATTCTGTTTTCTCTACACAATGTCGAAAAAAATTTAAAAGACATTTTATATGTTAAAAAAACATTCAAAACAATTATTATATAGACTGATAGATCAATAATATGAATATATAATGTTAAAGATTCTGATTCTAAGTCCATAAGAGAGAAAACGATCATTTGGGTATGAATTCCCTCGCTATCTTCATTTGAATAAGTTGTATAGAAACAACCAATACAATTAGCATCTACAAAAATATAGACAATGATGTGTATAAACCATAGTTTTTAAACCCGGCCGGTAATTAACCCGGGCAAGTCCTCAGGTCACCGAGTCACCAGTTCAACCGTCAGGTCACCGGGTCAATTGCTGAACCGGATAATTAATTTTAAAATTTTTAAAATTATATATAGAGTATTTTGTCATATAAATATACATAAAAGTAACAAAATTAAATATTTTGTGTATAAAATTTGTACATTAAAGTGTTAATAATATGTATCTCATGATAAATATTTACCATATAAACATATATACATAGTTTTATTTTTAAAGAACAAAAAAATAAAAAAATATAAATGGACCGGGTCAACCGGGTTGACCCGGCCGGGTTGGCCGGGTTTTGACCGGGTCCTTTGTTGCCCGGTCCAAATAGCCCACCCGGACCGGTTCCGACTCTAGGTCGACTGGATCCCGGGTCGACCCGCCGGACCGGTCCAAGTCAGAAAACTATGGTATAAATAATAATATAAGGACAAATTACCTTAGAATCTTGAGATATAATCTTAAGAACGTTTCGATAATTGCGCTCGTCTTCAATGCTTTGGAACATTATAATGATGCGTAGCTTGATTATTGGCCTATTAAATCTTTTATATCTTTGATTTTTCCAAAAACCAAAGTCATTTTGAATGGGGATGGGAAAATTGATTCAAAAGTGTGTTCTATAGGATGCATTATTTCCTGTCGACGTTTGGTTCAATGAGCACACCAATGTGGTGTTTATATAGTGATTGTACATGTGCCATCTACCTATAAATTCGAATTTAAAAAAACTTGTAAAAAAAACATATATTTGGTAATGTAATCAAGGATTGACATTAAATTGATTTGATTTTATTTTCCTAACTAATTGGATAATGATTGACACAAAATTCAAAGCTAACAAATTTTGTTACAAAATAAAAAAGGATAGAAAATCTGAATGGATTTGAATTCTCGTAACCTAAAAGCCTATCAATTTTTATGGGATATCAATTAATTTGAATTTTTAAAACATAAAAATCTGTCAATTTAGCGATTCGCACATATTTTGTTAGAAAATAAAAAGATGATCATTTTACAGAAGATAATTATTAGCAAACACTTTTTTAATGTGTATCAAGAGTTGTTTAAAAGAGTTGTATTGAGAGTGTATCACTATTACTTGAAAAAAATCGTAGCAAATATGCACCGAATATACATCGCAGAATTAATTCATCAAAAATAAATAAAAAGATGACCAAATTTAAATTGATGTGCATTCGAATTTTAGTTTTATTTGAATTTATTATATTTCCTATATTATCTCTATCAATCTATATATATATAATAAGAATTACTATTTACCATAAATAGTAACTAGAAATTTTAGGACAACATTAATTGCTTACTATTTTTGGATTTTTTTTCTTTTTTTTTTAACATTAATCCTTATCATCATTTGAATTATGCGGCCTAAAAAAGTGGAATTTAATTTGAAAAATTCAAATCAAATCGTATCCTAAAAATTTGCATTTTGTTAAATCCCTCATAATACAACCCCATATCAATACCATTTTTGAATTTATTATTTTTAAACATACAACAGAAACAGTATCCACATACACAATTTATGTCTTCCTAAATTTAAGTAATTTGTTGGTCCCCAAATTAGTGAAGATTCCTTGCATGAAGGATTTATACAATTTTGAAAAAATTGAGAACTTGGTATAAACCCATTACATACGATATTGGTTTTAGAATTTGAATTTTCAAATTTCTTCCATATACATACGCAACTATTCACTTCCTAAAATTAATTAATTTGTTGAATCAAATACGATATTATGGTATTGGTTTTGGAATTTGAATTTTTAAATTTCTTCCACATACATACACAACTATTCACTTCCTAAAATTAATTAATTTGTTGAATCAAATACGATATTGTGGTCCACCAAAGTCAGTTGAGATATTTTGCATGAAGACTTTTTACAATTTAAAAATATTAGGACTCTTGGTATAAACATTTTGGATAGCCTTTTTTCACAAAATAAATTTGAGATGGATTAGGAATTTCAAATCAATATAAATTCATCTCTGATTACAAGTTAAAATTTTTTAAATTTTATTCTAACAATAAAATTTATGGTTTCAAACTCGAGGTAATGAGTTTGTAAATAGATAGATATTTTTTTTATTTTCTAAAATATTTATTAAAAAAATTATAATGACAATAAATTTTATGATAAAATAATAAATTAAGTATTATACCAGAATATGTAAAACTATTATTTTTTGTATTAAAGAATAAATATATATACTAAAATCAAATTTATATTAGTATCAACGTTTTAGCGAGATAATATATTAATTAATTTACATACTAGAGCTAATAGATTGAGGTTTAACGTTATGACTAAAAAAATAACAATGATTAAAAGAGGTGTAAAATAGGTGATCTAACTCTATTTTTTTAAACCTAATGGACAAGCCATCTAGAAACTCAGACCCGTGCATCACACGAGCTACGTGTTAGTTATATTGGGAATGAAATTAACGAAGATACTTTTTTTTATTTTCCTACAATTATAGCAACAATTCTCTATGATCAATATTATGACCATATTTTTAGGAATTAAGATTTACACAATATCTTTCTCAAATAATAAATTTTTGAAATTGAATTCGAATTTTCATTAGCCGCCATTTCACAAAAAAAAAAGAAGTATTAAGAACAATAATTTTGAAAATTATATGTGGGAATTTCAATACTATGTCAAGTAAATCGTTTTCTCTATTATATAGTAATAGATATACGAAAAGTAAATCAATATATTTATGCACAAAATTCATAAATATAAATAACTTATGGAGGATTGAAGTTTATCAATGTTTAGTATATTGTCCATTATTCTCGGAACAATTTTTTGTTTGATTTACAACATTAATTTGAATGGAAAAAAAATTCGTAATTGTTGGGATATCTCAATTCAAAATCTCAAATTTTTGGCATAAGAATCTCCAAATTTGTTACCAATAAAAATTGATTCATATGAGATTAATATTTAAGAAATGAATTAAATTTTGGTATAAGAGTATCTAAATTTGTTACCATAAGAATCTTCAATTTTTTTGAAATATCTCAATTAAATTTGATTCCCAAAGATTTACATGTTTTTTTTTTAAATTTCTACTAATAGTAAGTCAACTCATTTATTTATTAATCAAACTTACTATAAAACATTTTTCCAACAACCTCTTTATATTATTATAGATTATTAAGCCTTGGATCATCATAAGTTAACAGATAAAGTTTTCAGTGGTGATTCCTATACAAAATATTGAGTTCATCATTGATCAGGCTCATCATAAGTTAACAGATAAAGTTTAAACCAATCTACATAATTTTCGAATGTTATACGTATTGGTGAAATTTTATTGGTCAATTGTTGGAGACCAAAAATTTCAATTGATTATCAAACAACAACATTAAATTATTAAAATATACTTCATAATATCTTTCAAAAAATTCAAATGCTAGATCTTTGATTAAACATTAGACAACCAAAAGAAAACAATTGTGATTAACAAGTGCATTGAAAACTAATTAAGTTAAAACTCAAGTATCCAAACTAACAAAGACGCAAGATTGGCATAAAAAATCAAAATTATGCACAGGCACACTTAAATGTCACAATTAATTTACTTATTATGATTAGAACTAGTAATATCTGCTAGACATATTTTTTTAGCAGATGTACAATAATATCATAATTTAAATAACATAAATGAAATATAACATTTTATACCATAGTGAATTTATTAATTGGTAATAAATATGTTAGACATATGTTATGAAATTAAATACGGTAATGTCATAATTAAAATAAAAATACATATTTTCACTAAAAAAATTATGACGTGCGGCGTACCACATTATTTATTTATTTTTTTAATTAATTTGAAGGTATAGAATTGAGTAGGGACCAAACATGGGCTGGGCCGCTCCAAATAGTGGGGGCCCACATTAACAATACCAGCTGTGATAATGTGATCCCTCGTATTTTCTCTTCTCAGTTGAATTTCCTCCATTGCTGAGATCTGAACTCAGAGTTCTATCTCTCTCTTTTACTGACTGACATATAACAACTGCATATCAGGTTAGTTTCTTTGTGAATGTCCACTACCAGTGAGTGTTCAGTT